TAGATGGGTATTCAGTAATTCGTGGTATAAGTATAGGTGAAGAAGCAAAGAATGTAAACCTTTATGTTCCTGATAGAGGAGATGTCCATAGTTTCAGGTGTAAATGTAGTGACACTTAGTTGTGGGGTAGACTTTACATATCTAGCATTATGTTAGCGTGTCTGTTTACCCAGCCGCCATTCAAGTGGGAAGAGATGCACATTGAGCGAGTGTAATTATTTGCAATTTTCATAAAAGTGCTCTTGATCTTGGGAATCTCAAATGCCACATTCACACAATCCATGGTTCCTAATGCACTGCACCACCCTTCGGGGGATAAAGGAAAGGAAATTATTCACTGACAGTGGGGCCACGTGCCAGTCAGAAAGATAGGTAGTACTTTTTACTGTACCATCACAGGAACAGCTCAGTTTCTTTTGGAAACTATGATTGGCCAGAAAATAGATATCAGTGGATGCATGAGAGTAGAGTGCTGACATCAGCTCCTAGAAGATGAAGTACCTGGATTTGAGGAGGACTTCACAGAAGAAGATGGCAACGACCCAGAGGAACTGGTTTAGGTAAGTAAATTTCTCAGGTCCCCGTGGTAACCGGAATGCAAGCAGAGCAGTCTTTATTGGAAGTCTTTGCATATTATGCAAAGACCACAGAGGGTCACAGTGCCATTTTAAGTACACCTCTAATAGCTGTCAGACAGCCACCAGAGACAATTCCTTTGTCAGATCTAAGTAAATATCGGTCTTGCAATCAAATGCTGCTCGTAGAAGCATTTAATTGGAGGAACACTGCATTTGGCCACACGTGCTTATCTTGTCTACCAATGCTATGAGAATTATTGGATTGGGCAAGTTTACGGAAGATGTCAACGGGGATGTCGATGTTATCGGAGGTAGAGCGGGTGGGCAAATTTAATTTAAGTTTCTTTATTATTTGCAAAGGGGGTTATAAATAGTGGGCACAGTAATAGAAGGGAACCTATAGTTCTGAATAAATGCTTGTTATTATCAAGCCTATAGATTCCCTTTATGATGAATTTTGCAGCTTATTGTTAAATACTTAACTGTAACTTCTGGTTTCCTCTGATGGCATATGTTTGCCTGACATTTGCTTATATAATGTCTGCGTTTGCCACTATGCTGACCTTTTACCTATTAATAGCACTACGGGAAATTGAAATGCTTAACTTTAAAGTTGTTGTTCACATTAAAACAACTGCAAGCCAAATTGGGTCCAAGACTGAGTTTAAGTCCTTGATCTATTGCTGCCAAACTTTGGATCCGAAAATATTAAATCTTCCCATTCACAAAATCCACTTAATTTTAATGGGCATTCCTCCGTGTGCCAGGAAAGCTATTTTGGAATCTTGCGTCCACTTATTAAAGACATTTGTAGCATTTTGCTTAACCTTTGGATTATTTAAAGCGGGCCTCTTTCATAAATACATCTAAACAGAATCTCTGCAAACATTATAACTTTTTTAACGGGGGTGAAAATGGCTGTATGGCAGGACATGGATAAATCACAATTATTCTCCAGGAACTACCCACAACATGAAAACTGTGCGTAAACAAACAAAACAGTAAAATAATACGCTTCCTAAGTATATCCAGACTTCAAGTTCCAAGAAGCACATGTTCTGTGCAGTAGAAGTTCTGTTTGCGTACAGCTCAATTATCCGGTTTAATGAAAGCTGAATTTTATATCACAATAGGCATCAATGTAATATATATCATTGTGTTATTTTCTATGAACCTAAAAAAAAAAAAGATATATAAAGATAGCAATTTTACCACCAGGACAACCCTTTTAGAGGTTATGAGGGGCAGTTCCCAAGCCTATGCAAGCTCTTTAACTCTTCAATTCATCCGAATGGATTGACAAACAAACGGACACTCCGGGAAGAGTGGAGGCCTTGTTTGGGTGGTGTATTTTACTTTAACCCCTTAAGGACACATGACGGAAATATTCCATCACGATTCCCTTTTATTCCAGAAGTTGTGTCCTTAAAGGGTTAAACAACAGCAGTTTTTAACATAAAGGTTGATACAAAAAGACATCCCCCATGATATCATATATTTAACCACTTTGCTACCAAGGTTGTTTTGTTTAACAAATACTAACCTAACATTTATTAGAAACATGGAATATCCATAAATGTATCATAAAACATCAATGTTCTGGATAGGTAATGCTCAGGGATACTAACATGTAAGTTATTTAAGTTCCCACAAATTTTCTTTTTATTTGTTCATTTGAGTTTTAGACTCGCTTATATCTGAAATATTATTATAGACGCAAAACAGCTTCTTATAACTGGCAACAAAATGCAAAAAATAATATCTGCATTTGAAAATGAAGTCAATTTACAGTAAGTGCAGATAAATTATCTATTTGTGAAATGCAAAGTTTTGACAAGTGCTATAGATACCCGCATTAATCATTGTATTATTGCTCTGAGTGGTATCACAGTCCTCTCTAACTCTAGGAATGATGAAAGAACAACAAGGTTTGTTCTTTCATCATCCCTTACTACGAGGTAGGTGGGGGAATCATCTCCATACATTTTTCAAAAATGGTCAATGTAGGACTTGGTCCTGCTTTTCTCTCCAAGCTGAAAATCATTCCTGGAGTATAGAAGATGGTAAAGGGGGATAGTAATATGGTAGAGGTTAGGTGAATGGAGTGGAACGATCTACCTGGCACAGTAGTTATAGTGGTGTTGCAGTGTAAGCATGCAGAAGCCAAACACAGAAATATTGGACACAGGTCTTCAGGAAGTAACAGGCCTTTATTCACATTACCGATCGGGTCTCAGATGAACTCCTGTTCCAACATTCTGAGAGACCAACACATAGTGTACATTCCTTATATAGCACTATAACTCCTCCCATTAATAGCTACACCCACATATACCTTTAACCAATCAATGAGCAGAATATAGACTTGTACATCTAGTCAAACCACATGGCTCATCCAAGACAAAGGAAATAAGTGCAATTTCAGTTCCTGCATTCCTGCACATGCTCAGTACACTGATGACAGTATCCTAGCTACATGTAGCTAACCAACTGACACAACATACACATATGCCACATGGAGATTTTGGCCTACTAAATTTTAACCATGCTGGAATCCCATCACATTCCCCCCTTTTGATGCCTCTGATATAACATTATTCCAGATGCATCACCAATCACAGTTTTACCTACATCTCTCAAGTAGCCATTGAACCAGAGTAGACCTTGTAAGCATCTTAAAAACTCCTTCAACATTCTTCATCCTGAATATATTCTCTTCGGGCTAGGGGATCATATCTTCCAGACAGCCATTACATGGGCAGCTGTCTTTCTCTCTATAGTACTCTCTATAATGCTACGTAGGGACCTTACCACTAGTGGAATTAGACAGGGCAGGAGGAGGCACAAAAAAAAAATATAATAAATTCTACTCCTCCTACTAATGTCTTAATTCCTCCAAGCTGCTCATACCAACTTCCAAACCAACTACTTAGGTTATACCCATTCCAGACCTGAGTAGGTACATGCTCAAATTTAACCATGTGGCTTGTAAGTTCAGCCACTGCCTGCCCTTCATCATCTATGTGCAGACAACAGTTACTTAGATTAAACTTTCCGCATACACCTCCTTCTACTGCTAGTAAGTAATCAAGGGCTAGCCTATTCTGGTATATGGCTGATCACATCTTGGTATTTTGCTTAGCTAGAAGATTAAGCACTTGAGCTGTGTCATTAGTAATAATCTCAACTACCGCCCGTAGTCTAATAATGCGGTTGAGCATATATAATCGGAGTTCTATATCCATAAGTGCCATCTTCTGCCCAAGTAGTAGGTCCATAATAATTAATAATACGTTGAGGGGGCCACTCATTATCTTCCCAGCTACCTATATTCAAGGATGCTCTCTCCCTTTTATGATTTACATCGTAAACCTTAACTCCCAAGGTCTCTCCTGTTTCGATTGGCAACAAGAAGAAGGATGGCTTTGGCATACCTAATACACATGCCCCTTCCCAATCTTGTGGTAACTCCGAATAAGTTTTCTTACCACAAATCCAGTATAAATTTGCTGGGGCTTTCCAACTAGATGTAGCCGATAAGTCAAACCATACCTCCTTTAAATGAGTGTAATTGGCAAACGGATTAGTAGGTTCCGAGACATTTGAAGCTGACCACCAAGTAGTATTTTTAGTATTAACATTATAGGCTTTTTGTCCCAAGCAAGTTAGCTCACCTACAGACGTGTTATACATTGTCCCTTTCCTGGCTATACAAACATGACCTATAATGGAGGTTTTTAACCACCATTCCAATTTACTTCTAGTACTTACTTGATGATCAGACTGGAAAGGTATCTGTTGTTCATATGTCTCAGAGCCAGGGTACCATATTTCCTTTGCCTCCCATGGCCACTGGTCTCCCATATTAGTACCTCCACACACATAGCAATTAGTTACATTAAGACTACCTGCAATACCCTCAGCCAAATCAATAAATAGGTTGTTAACATTATGGGGAATTTTATCCTCAATACTCATCTCCTCATAGAAGGAATGAGAAACCTGATGAGTTTGAGTTGCCACTGTCTCAGTTTCAAGACCTACATATATTATTGTTCCTGAATCTACTCCTGTGCCATATATTTGAAACCCAAACAGACCTCCAAACCTGTCAATAAAGTACTGCAGATTGGAAATGGTCATGTGAACGGGGTTACACACATAGTTTTACAGTATGGTGTGGTAGGCAACCTTTGGATCATCATATCTTGATCCACTGTTTTTCCCAGGTTGCCCAACCTACACATGACCAATAGGGGCAGAAGTTAGTCTCTATTTGGGCAATCAGGATCAGTAGATCTTTTACTGGGACATAAGTATTTATCATTAAACCCATAAGTTCGTTCCCATTTAAGATTACCACATACATTCCAAAGTCTTCCACTACCCGAAATCGCCTTACATGCATCAAATAGTAGAATACCCGTGGAATGTATGGTGCTTATCACAGTCCTATTTAGTAATGTCCCCTGGGAGTTACTATTCCGAATTACCAACCAAATTGTACGGGGTTGGAAATGGGGATCAAAACATTTAGACTCTCCTGATATTGGCTTGCACACACTATAATCAATATCCAAATATCTACATTTAGATACAGATCCCTTACATTCATACTGTGAGTGCCAGATGAGAGTTTGGGATATTTGGTTACCTGTTTTAGTAGTCTTAATGCAACTATCGCAATTCGGTATGTCTGTACTCCTACCTTCCTGAAAAATCATAAAAATACTAAGACACAATAAAACACATTATTCCTGAAATCCTCATTTTTCTTCGACCGTGCGATGGCCTCTCAGCTTCCCGATTGTGAGGGCTGCAAGGATGTTGTTCTTCTGATCCTCACTTTCCTTCACAGAGATCCCTTCAAGATACTCTGGCTATGACACGTAGGCAGGTGGTCAGGCTTTATTATGGCCGTCAAAACACCTACTTGATGATCTTTGTAGACTTTTAACTAGAATGTCTCGATATCCCCTCGTCACTCCGACTAAGTTGCATGCTTCAACCGGGTCCTGCAAGGATTCTCAGGATCTGTAGTAGTTTGCCAAGAGTCTGCTGCTGGTTTAACCTTAGAATGATGAATCCAAGGAGTCACTTCCGCCACCTTTACAGCTGTTGGGGTAGATAAAAGAACAACATACAAAGGCTAACAGGATACACCCCGAGCTTTAACTCAATATGTATTGGTGGGATATTACGAGCAAGTCCTGGAGGATTATTTTCTTCCCATACTCCTGGAATGTCAAATAAGGATTCATCACTCTTAGGGTTAACACTTGTCACTATGGAATAGAAGCGTCATTCTTCTTCCCTTGGCACCGATATCGCCATTATGCCTGGTAATCCCTTAAACTTCAGAGATGTTAATCCATTAGGTAAAAGGTTATCTGAGCTTAAAGCTTCGATAATAGATCTCATCCTAAAAGTTGAATCGGACACTCTGGCATATATAGGAACTAATGCTTCACCACATGGCCTCCCAGAATACAAGTGCGACTCTTAAGAACCGGTCTAGCTGCACTTCTCCCAGTAGCTCCTATCACAGTTATAGTCTTCCCCGAAGGCGGAGCCACCATCTTAGTCACCACAGAATGTTCAGCACCTGTGTCGATCATGAAAGAACTTCTCTTTCCCCCTATTGCTACATCGACCATAGGCTCCGCTCGACCAAGTGGGATGGAGCCCAGTCGGTATCAATAGTCTTCCATGATAGTGTCAGCCAGACCCACAAAATCTCTATCCTCTCTTTCTCTAGGTCTCTGCGTGGGTGGATAGTATCTGTCTCCTTGAACACTTCCTCTACTATTCCCATCATTCCCTCTAAAACTTCCTCTTCCTCTATAACTACCACTATAACCTCCTCGTACCCTTCTCTCTCCTGTCTATCACCTTCATACTACTCTCTCTGTGGACACTCACTCTTCCAATGTCCCTCCTTTCTACAATACGCACATTAATTCCTACTTAAAGTCCCTTGCTCAGCCTATTCTCGTCTCCTCTATTCACTTCCCTGTCTTTCTACACTTAAGATAGCTACCGCTAGCATATCTGCCTTTTTCCTCATTTTACGTTCTTCCTCCGTCTCCCTATTCATATATACTGTATTTGCAATCTCCATTAGCTGTATTATGGACATCCCTACAAATCCCTCTAATTTTCTGTAATTTCCTTTTACTATCACCTTGGGCCTGGCTGACAAATGCTGAGTCTATCATTCGGAAGTTTTCAGGGGCCTCTGGATTAAAGGGAGTATACAACCTATTTGACTCAAGCAGTGTCTAATATGGGACTTCGGCAAGGCTGCCCAATAATAGGTTCCAGTCTACGGGTAGTAAGATAGGTGCAAGGGGGTGAGCTAATTTTATTAGTCAGCATTTGGTGGATGAAAAAAAACGTTTTTGTTTAAAGTGTTAAACCAAAAACCTACCAGTAGGTGTCACCAGAGGGTAATTGTATCAAAATAATCTTTATGGGTCTAATAAGAAAACTCAACTTTTAATATATTTATACATAAAATAAAACCTTATAGCAATAAATATATTAAAATAGGGTAAGCAATCCTACTAATATCTGTTATAAACAATGTAATATCAATGTAACTCCCGAAGATGGCCAGTAGGTGGCTTATAGTGCCTCCCTAAAGTCAAATGAAACAAATAGACTTTAATTAATTATGTCCTATTTTATTATTACTTATTTTAATCAATGTCCACCCTGCTAGCTAGGCTTGATTAAATCTTTAGTTCTAAGGTAAATTAAACATTTCAGTTTGTAGTTTAGTAAAAGGGGACATTTTGGACAAAGCTGGGAGGGGCCCATCCAGTAACTAAAATAAAGACCATATACCATCTGATACCATTGATCATTGATTAGGGGGAGGGGTAGTACAGAAATACAAGAGTTTGAAACACAGGAACAGATAGGTATGTGGGTAGGCGGGGACAGTAGAGCAGGGGGAGTGCAAATACTGACTATATACCAGTTTTGGGAGTAAGAAATGGGCGTGGCTACTCTGGCTCTGGAGGATGTTTGGGGGGTTGGTAATCAGATGCCAGGGGGGGAGGGGATATCCAAAGCAGTTGTAATTAAGTCCTTAGTTCTGACCACCATATGGCTACATTGTTTCCCATATGACACAGTTTAATTCACCAAGGCAATTCTTCAACAATCAGTTTCCAACAGTCAATATATAGAAACTGATCATAGAATTCCAGCCTACTAGTTACAGCCACATGTACACCCTGCACTAAATTTAAGTGAAGACTGCTACATGGAGGCCATGCGGCCACCAGGACAAGCTACTCCCTACTTTTTTTTTTTTTTTAAACATACAAGACAAAGCCTTGTGAATCAGAAGATTATTTCAACAGAGCATCTGATTCAAAAAGCTGTACAAATATACACACAGTTTCAACAGTCACACCAATCTCCTTATCACCAGCAACACATTGCGCAGTCACTAGGCCCAAACACACACACAGGATCCTCACATGCTCAACAATATCACGACGTCGCACACACGAAATTAAATCAAAAACCCACCAAAGACTATACACTTATCAATGTAACTATTATTCAAACCATACAACTATCCACGCTATTAATCCATATAAACTAACCGATCACATAACATTTCAACAGATTTCATCTCTACAATTATCTGTACTATAAATCAACTCTTGACTAACCAACTATATCACATTCTAGTAACCTCATCTTTACAGTCAGTGGTTATGGTACAGTTAGTAAGTGGTTATAATACAGTTTTAAAGTCACAGATCAGTTAGTAACAGTTATGGTATTATACAAATAACATAAAACAGCAATTGTTAGTAATTTTTACACAATGTCAGTGGTTATGGTACATGTCAGTAGTTATGGTACCGTGCGCTATTTTACAGTTATACACACAATTTACACTCCCACTAGACAGCAGAGCTCTAACTTTCTAGTAGGACATACAAGTTAACCAATTCACCAACTACAATATATTTAACAACATTTACAATAATCCCAACTATTCTAACTGGCCAGCACCTCGAGAGCTTTCGATCTATTTATACACCAGAGATTCGATAAGTTCTTCGCTGCCCAGACACCACGTATAGCGAACTAGAGGGCAGAATTTACACAGTACCCAGCTAGTCTATTAAACTATCAATAAGCTAGTGGCTGGATTTACAACAGAGCACACTTAGTTAAGATAGGGTGAAATCTAGCAAACTATAATATACAACAGAGTATGCTAGTCTCCCGGTCCCCCCGACCTAGCGAACAAAATTTACACCCTAGATACGCTAGTCAAGACAGGACACCGGTGTCCGACATGAGCTATTTACACCAGAACTCAGTCTGACCCAAACCAATAAGTGTTGCGCTTTTCACTTCTTCCATCCATAAGGACAGGGCAGATTCCAATAACCGGTTCCAAATATAAAACCCCTTGTGGGTCTACCGCTCTAACGGTATCAATCTTACCTGTCAATTACTGGACCTGGGTTCACTCATAGACGGAACAATCCGGGACTCACTGCGCAGAAGCCGATGATCTCCTGGACAAAAGGCCAGTGGCGCCGAGACGAAAGGAGGTCCACGCAGTAGAAGTCCAGGATTGTAGCGTAGAAGGTTTGGTAAAAGTTTACCGTCTCAAATCTCTGTGCCAGCTTCCGTGCGATGAGGTTCCCGGCCCAATTGCACCAGAAATGTTGCAGTGTAAGCATGCAGAAGCCAAACACAGAAATATTGGACACAGGTCTTCAGGAAGTAACAGGCCTTTATTCACATTACCGATCGGGTCTCAGATGAACTCCTGTTCCAACATTCTGAGAGACCAACACATAGTGTACATTCCTTATATAGCACTATAACTCCTCCCATTAATAGCTACACCCACATATACCTTTAACCAATCAATGAGCAGAATATAGACTTGTACATCTAGTCAAACCACATGGCTCATCCAAGACAAAGGAAATAAGTGCAATTTCAGTTCCTGCATTCCTGCACATGCTCAGTACACTGATGACAGTATCCTAGCTACATGTAGCTAACCAACTGACACAACATACACATATGCCACATGGAGATTTTGGCCTACTAAATTTTAACCATGCTGGAATCCCATCACAGTGGTATAGCACTATAGTGTGAAGCGATATGAGCTATCGTGTCAGAAATCACAATAGCTCACTGTTGAATCAGTGCACTGAGATGCCATAGTGTGCATGTGCAGATGTGGCAATCCTTATCTGGTGCAATCATTGTCCATCAGAGTTATCAGGCTAGAAGTGAGAATAATGAAGTGTCCAGCAGCATCTGAAGTGTTGCTAAATGTGATTAATATAGTGAAAGCCATCAGTTGACATGAACTTCGTTGTTGTAGTCAATATCTGGGTGGACACATTCATTACCAGCCGAGAGAAATCAATATGGCTTGCTGACTAAATTTCCAGGTGGAAATTTTGAATTGTCCAGATAAAAATGTCTCGGACTTAGTCACATTGCCACATAGCACTTGCACTATATTCTTCAGTCAATTTCCTTAAAACCAGTAAGATCCATAGTCTACATAGTCAGACCAAGAACAAGAGGTGGTTACAGTAATATTTGAAACATTTAATTTACCATCTACAGACCTTCTGTTAAAGGGTTACTGTTGGTAAAGTGCTTTCCTTGGCCAACTCAACTTGTTTACATCTTCTCTTCTGGCAAACGCCAGTCACACCATAAATAACATAGCACATTAAAAGGTCACATTGCGTATTCTATAAGTCAACACCTTGTACAACAGTTCATTTTCATAGTGGGTGGTTTATTGTTTAAAAAAATGGGACAGTTAGTATTTACTGTGCTCCATCATATGAGAAGCAGGTCAACTCGTTTGGTAAATTTACTTCTAAATATTTTTAGCAGATTTAGAAAACCACCACCGAGTGATGGCAAATAGGTTAGCTTCTTGCTTTTATGTCGACTTCAAAAAATGGATGCTTTTAAATCAAGTAATAGCAATACAATATTTGGAGCTTAGTACATAATAAAATAATGAAGGAACACTGCAGTTAGGATTTGACAAAGCATCTACCTAAAATATTGGGTGAGCAGGAAATTTGAGAAACTAACAATACCTTCTATTGACTCGATGATGTTCAAACTGCTAGCTCGCGAACAATTGATCTATGCTCAAAAGTCTGAAAAAAAGAATGAAAATTGTGATCCCACCACACGACAAAACACGGTTTAAAAGAAAAATGGAAAGGCTGAATTTGAAGAGCCATCTCAGGGATGGCATGAGGTAAGGCTTTGATGTGACTCAATACAGCACATGGATTAAATGCAGACAGTTATATAAAGCTGCAACCCTCAAACCGCTGTCACGTTCTTCAGACACACCCAAAAAAGGAACTTTATCATTTTTAAGGTTTATTTTATTCACAGCATGTGACAAGTGGTCTGTCTGCTTCCATGCTTATATTTTAGATATCCTTGAGCAGTTATCTATATGTGAAATCGACTGGTTCATCTAGGATAGTAGTGGTAGAGTTTAAAAAAATAAAAGATTATTTTAGTTTAATTTACTAATTTTAATCAAGTAATCATGTAATGTGCTCGTATGAGGTTCAGCATAGACCACAAGTATTTAAAAAAAATAATTGTGTTTGTACATTGGAGCTAAATACAACAGCAAGTGTAGCTGTCCAAGAGTTGTGGGGTTTTGAGCGCAGGGCTAATCTTTTTGTTTTACATGCATTAGGGGTACTTTTTTAACATTTACATTTTTTATAATATAGATTTTTGAGTTACCTCTGAACTGTATTAAGTAAAATAAAAGAAATAAAAGTAAAAAGCATTTGTGAATTCAGTTTATTTTTTAACTGTGTGTTCAATTCCCGGAGAGAGTGTCAACTCTGAACTTTTAACACGGCAAAGCCGCAGGACCTTCGGAATTTGTTACAGTTTATAAGTTGGCAAAAGAATACTTTTTATGAAGAAAGAGATGTAACAATTAGCTTCAATCCACGGCATCTGCCCTCAAACTTTCCTTGAACTGTCCCCCCACCCTCCAAAAAAAGTAAACACACTAAAAACAGGCATTTTAGTACCGCAGATTGAACCGTGTCTTTGTGTGTGTTTTTATCAGACGGTACATAATTGCACGCATTGTAAACTGCGTTCCTGAACATTTTAACAGCGCTGGTCAGTTCACATTCCACATTTATAGCAATTTACAATCTATAAACTGTCAATTCAATGCCAGATCTTCTTAGAAGTAGCACAAGCACAGCATCAGTATTTAACCCCTTAAGACCGCAGGGCGTTCTATGCCGTCCCTATTTGGGGGTCTCTAAACGCCGCAGGGCGGCATAGAACACTCTGGGTGGTCTTGCCTCCCACCTGGCCGGCGGCACATGGCCGCTGCAGATCGCGGTTGGGGGGCATGCCTGGCCACCCAGGCACTCCCCCTGTGGTCAATTACCGCGATCTGCAGAAGGTGATCACAGTGACAGCCAGTCATTGTGATCACTGATCCTGTGTGTCAGCCAGTGATGTAAAAACATTGACTGACACTGTCTCTGCCCCTCTCCTGTAATAAAAATAAAATATTAGTTAAAAAAAAAAAGATTACAGTTACAAATAAAATATACTTAGATCATATATATTATATATATATATGATCTAAGTATGTATATATATATATATATGATATAAGTATATATATATATATATATATATATACACACACACATTTACACATACACTAAGTGTATTTTAATATTAATATATATATATATAATTTTATATATATATTAATATCAAAATACACGTAGAAGGATATTGATTAAATGTATATATAATTATAATTATATATATATATATATATATATTTATATATAAAAAAATATGTAAATACGTTAAAAAGGAAAAATAAAAAAAATAATAATAAAAAAATATTAAAAAAATATATATATGTGTAATTTCATTCTAACTGTATTTTGATAATATATATATATATATATATTGATATCAAAATACACGTAGAACAAAATAATATATATATATATCTATATACATAAGTATATACGTATATATCACTATATGTATACCTATATATAAATAAAAAATAAATAAAAAAATTAAATACATATATATATATACATATATATAGACACATATATAAAATATTTTTACATATATATTTATATAATAATTTAACATAATTAGGTCCTTGACAACCCAGGCCGAAAGTATAGGGAATTTAATTTGCTAGCACTATATTTAACCCTATAACTTTCCAAGACATCATAAAACCTGTACATGGGGGGTACTGTTCTACTCGGGAGACATCGCTGAACACAAATATTTGTTTTTTAAAACCGTAAAATGTATTACAACAATGATATCGTCAGTGGAAGTGACTTTTTTTGCATTTTTCACACATAAACGGCATTAACACTGACGATATTATTGCTGTCATACTTTTTATTGTTTTGAAACACAAATATTTGTGTTCAGCAAAGTCTCCTGAGTATAACAGTACCCCTCATGTACAGGTTTTATGGTGTTTTCAAAAGTTACAGAGTCAAATATAAGGCTTGCGTTTCAGTTTTTTTCACATTGAAACTCGCCAGATTGGTTATGTTGCCTTTGAGACCGTATGGTAGCCCAGGAATGAGAATTACCCCCATGATGGCATACCATTTGCAAAAGTAGACAAGCCAAGCTATTGCAAATGGGGTGTGTTCAGTCTTTCTTAGTAGCCACTTAGTCACAAACACTGGCCACAATTGGCGTTCAAATTAGTTTTTGCATTTTTCACACACAAACAAATATTAACGTTAACTTTGGCTAGTGTTGTGTTAGTGTTTTACACCATAAAACCTGTACATAGGGGGTACTGTTTTACACGTGAGACATCGCTGAATACAAATATGTGTATTTTATTGAAGTAAAAGAAAACAGTATTATGACATTCACAGTTAAAATGTCATGTAGAACTAAGAAAATTTAAAAAAAATCTTATTTTCTCTAATTTTTTTATATTTTATTCATATTAAATTATGTTCCATACCTAAATATTTGATGTTAAGTGAAAGCCCTGTTTCCCCTGAATAAAATGATATATAATAAGTGTGGGTGCATTTAATATGAAAGAGGTAAATTATTGTTGAACAGACATATAGTAAAATTCTGTGGTTTGTTTACATTTTTTTTGGATCACAACTTGTACATTTGGCTGCGGTCTTAAGGGGTTAATAAAAAAAAGAAATTATGGAAAATATAAAGTTTTTGATGAAGATGCTGAAGATGCTCAAGTCACAGACTCTGGGTACCAGAACATATTCTCTGTATTGACAATGTTATCCAGTTTTAGGATCTTTTTTGGACTTTAATTGTGAGAGCGAGGAGGAATTGTTGAACATATTTTAACTCTTTTTATCTTGTTAGTAAAGCTGCAGTGTGGAAGTTCATGTATGGGAGAAGATTAACTTGCTAATGGCTTAAGCTCTTCCAAAAATATGTGTGTTTAAATTTTAGAATTTTTTTTTAAATTTTTGTTCTGTATTAATTTGTAAAAGGGACAGTTTAAGCACTTAATCGGAATTGAGTTGTTATGGTGCCAGGATGTCCCTGGTGCTGGCTCGCCTTTATGGGTTAAACCATTCTTGAACAGTTTAACTCCAAAGTCTGTGTTCCATCACTGAATCTCCCTGCCTCTGCTTGCCTTCTTTCTTTTTCTCAAAATCAGGAAACCGGAAGGCTGTAGCAGAATCAGGCAGCAGTGCTTCTGATTGGCAGAGAGGTCAGCTGACGCTTTCAGACTCCCCATTCTGAAAACTTGAAGAAGATGCGTTTCTTCTCAATAAAGTTTTATGAATGGGGATTCACTGAATGGCTGAGAGTGTCAGCGGACCTCTTTCATGCCAATCAGAAGCACTGCTGCACACTGAGAGCAACAGCCTTCCAGTTTCCAGATTTTTAAAAAAACGAAGGACAGAGAGGCAGGGAGGTTTGGCGCTAGAAAACACAGACATTGGGGTTAAACCATTCAATGAAGTTGATATGGTGCCCATAATGTTCCTTTAATTCCACTGTACTTTTCTATTGTCCCATTAGGTACACCTACACCTGAATCTAGCGGAACATATTAATATACATATTGTGGTGTAATCCCTTCACTAAAGCCTGCACAGGTTTTTAAATTCACTTAATTAAGAAAATTGAGTCGGTGAAGCCTCACTTAATTACTCCTATATCCCAGATGATTG